AAACATTAACTCGAATATCTCTCTCTCCCTTACTACAACTCATAAACTTGATTCGTTTAAAACCATTTTAAGCATGAATTTACTTATACCAAGACACCTTTGGATTTTCAACGCTTATTTAAATATGGTTTACTTATAAAGAAAATACTTTTTGAAACGCTTTTAAAAGTATTATTACTGTTGTTAGCAGAAAACCTGTAATGCTCACCAACCTTGTGTTGACCCTCAAAACTACATGTATTCTCAGAAAATCATTAAACAGACATTCAAGATAGATTGGATTACAGGTGACCTAGTTTACTTGTTGTTGTATTATATGCCTATCTGTTAAGGCAATTTCATGTATTATTATTATATGTAAAAACATTGTATTCAAATATCAAGATTAAACTCAAATGCTATTTTGTTTATTGTTGTACATGTGATATATATTCAGTTTACCTGTGATCCATGAACTTAGTCGCACAGCCCAACGTGTTTTGCCGCCTCGATTGGGGTTGTGACATGGGAAAGCAGTTGAGGACGGCTTTTTCTAAGGGAAGTCGACCGCCGAATAAAAGGGTATGGGCTTTCCATGAGGAGAGTTTTGCTTGGAATTTTTCAATTACAAGCCTCCAATGTTTTTTAAACAACATATTGGCAGCCACGGGCACCCCAAGGTAAGTAAAGGGGAGGGAGTCTACGACACAGCCTAGTGTTGAGGCCTAACAAGTCGTTTTCAGTATTCGAGGAGCCGATACCAAAGACACGAGATTTGTAAAAATTCACCTTTAGTCCCAGACGAGACGTGAAAGCATTTGAGAATGCGAGCGAGATTAAAAATATAATATCAATTCCATTCTCCTATAAAAAGGGCGTCATTGGCATAGAAGAGATGGGATATGGTGGGCTCGTTATTTGGTAGTTTAACCCCACGAAATAAATCTTTGTTGCAAACATTTGTTATCACCACATTAAGGCCCTTCATTGCTGTAATGTCCCAAAATTTATAACCAAAAATTTTAATTATGTATTAATAAAACCATCAACCAAACATTTTTATAAAAATCATAAAGGAAATTAGAGTATGTTGAAAATCATCCAAAAATACATCAGGATCAAATAACGCATAAAATCATGGTGTGAGCGATGCGATCATCCCGATCTCTTCCCCTTCGAATCGGAAGTACCTGAAACATAAACTAAAAATTGTAATCACAAAGTTTATTGAGTTCCACAAAATACCACATACCATACATATATTTCAGCTCAAGGTTGTACCAGGACTGTTTCAACCCGAGTCTATATCAACTTAATCGGTATTTTTCAACTGTATGGGTCAATTTCACCCCACATACATATAACAAACAGGCACACATACATACAACAAGATTCACAAATACAACAAGCACATACAACCCTAGTGTCCTATATTAAAGTGAGCAAACTCACATCGACCCGTTGATAAACAAATAGATGCTCGAGCCGCTAACTTGGAGAATCCCCGTACTATCCAATCAAATAAAACCCCAAATTAATAATTAGGCATTAAAACATAACCGGGAATCTGATTCATTAAGCCCGACTCCTAGGGTAAAATACCATTTTACCCTTTCCTTAATTGGCCCCAAATAACTCTAGCCTAAACCCAAGAGCACCCAAAGCCCAAAATGGCCCAAAACCTTCTAAACCCACGGATGGGAATATGCTGAGCATACTCGACTCGTACATTGTGCATACTCACACCTTACCGAGAGATGGGATTTAAACCCAGTACATGCAATGAACTTATAAGTATGCCTAACGTACTTAGAAGTACACCCATCTTACTAATATGTGAACAATTCCTAGTATGTGAACAATTCCTTATATAGATGGCATAATCCCTTAAGACCCTAACATCCAAACTTCAAATCTACTCCAAAACAAGGTCCTAATCCATAAAGTCAAAAGCTTTAAGCTTTTGCATGGATTAATAAGGCTCAATACCCAATTTTAACATTTTAACCCCATGAAATGAACATTAGCCCTTTCATGGTTTAGTTAAATCCATCAAGATACCATTTTTATGCACAAGGGACCTCAGAAATTCTAATATTTATCATCCTAAGATTCTAGAGTAGCTACTACTCACATGAAACAACTCAAGGGACCAAAACATGCCAAGAACCCTAAGATAACTAGATATAGGAGATGAATCAACAAGGTTGAAACTTTATACCTTCTGAGACTTGCCATGATGATGAAGATTCTGGATCTTCAAGCTCCACTCCAACTAATCCTTGATCACCAAGTTCCTTCTTCTTCAAGATGCACAAAACACCAAGAGTTTAAACAAAAGATCAAGAACATACAAGGAAAAGCTATGATTTCGTTTAGAGTCTTTAGAGGGAAGGAGACTGATGAGGGGTAGCCTTAAGGTCCGTAATGACACTTAAATAGAGGCCAATCCCTAGGGTTTATGGTCTGCTCACATACGCCCGGCATACATATGGTAAGTCCAATGTACACTGCCAACCCCCACATCCAACTTAAGGAAGTACGCCCAACATACTCCAAGTTATGCCCAGCATAACAAGGACCAAAATGCAAACTTTTAAGACTTATGCAAGGTATTGACGAGTACCTAAAACTCGAACATTACAATTGCGATTACAAAGAGAACGGGGCTAGAGGGTCACCCTGTCAGACACCTTTGGAGACTAGGAATTCATCCGTTGGAGAGTCGTTTAATGAGACCATTGAGGATGAAATGCTTCTAACAGCCATACATACAACTTGTATCTTCTCGACTTAAAAGGCCACCATCAAAAGTCACACATTGTTTATGGTTGTTAATTCCAATAAAAGAAACAAACACCATAGTATACCTATAATTAGTTAAAGGTATTTATTGCTCAATGAACTATAAATAATATTAATATTATTATATTAAAAATCAATTTTACTATCTATGTTACGTTTATGAAAGCAATTCTATTAAATATAACATTAACATATAATCAAAAAGCAATTTGGTACTGGATGAAAAGGGCTTCCATATTGAGTGGACAAACTTTTATAAACAGTGATAGCGCCCAATTTAGAAGACAATTGGAACAAAAATTGCAGTAATTCCACTATTTTAGTGGCCAGTTGGATTTGGTCTTAGAATGCAGCATCAAACGATACATCACCAAATTCTTTGCAATATAACTTGGAAGTCTCGTCGTCCTAAAATAAAGAATATGAATGATTGTCCTCAACTTTTTTAATCACAAGATCTCACAATAATAACATGTCTTAGTTATCATCATACAACGAGTGAGATAGCGAACGAGCATCAAGTTGTACCGCTAAGCGTTTTTTTATGGAAATATGATTTTTGCACCAAGCATCTTATCAACTAACAAGTTTGCATCTCTTCCATAAATGTAAAAATTCAAATCTCTCATCTAAGTTTTAAAATCATCTACGTCTTCACCTCGATAATGATATCCTCAATGGATTCCAAAAAAAACAACCTATAAGTGCCATGATAGTACATCTTATGTACAATCCATATTCCTTTTGGACTTGGAGAAATGTAAATTTTGGTTGTTATATAACTTGTTATTGTAGTCATGGTTCGTATTAGGGTTCTATATTAGGGTTTTTCAACAATTTGTGGTGATGGTCATGGTCCAGATTAGGGTTCTTTAACAAATTAATAGTGAGAGAGAGAGAGAGAGGCCTTGAAGAGAAGCATTTTAGATGAAGGGGTAGGGTAAAGGTAGGGATGAGAGTGATCATATTCTTTTACCTTTCTATATCATAAATAATAAACAAATAAAAAATAGATTACAACATTACCAAAGGGCTTATAGCCTGGTGGTATTAGGTGTGGGAAATGTGTTCCTTCCCGAGCGGTTAAGGGTTCAAGTCTGTTTATGGACAAAATAAGTAAATTTAGGAGTAGGATTTAGTCTGTGTGTGTTAAAAGGGACATTATGGTCATTTTAGGTTTATCAGGGATTAAGCATGTAACTTTTATATAAGTGACAGTTCGAATTAATTTTGAAAAATAGGGACTAAACGCACATTTTGATACTTACACCAAGAAAAATCGTGTAATTTACTCTAAAGATAATGAGTTAATGACGACATAAAAACAACCGAATATAGATAGGAAATTCATTAAACCGTTATGAATGAGTTTTTTTTATAAATAACCATTTTTTTTTGGAAAAGTTTCATTCCATACCTGTTCTTTAAATTTCAGAGTTTTGTGGTAAAAAAACTCAAAGAGACCACTATAGTTATGTCAAAAATGTCCATTTCGAACTATTGATATCACTCTTTTTCAATCAAATGTTGGACTATATAGCGGGGGAGACGCATGGTTTCATAGTAGGGGTGTAACATGAAATTTTAATAGCTTCACGATAGTAGAAAAATATTCAAAAAATTTTGGATTACGTCCAAAAAAAAAGAGGTGTTGTCGGTGCCACTTCTGGCACCATAGTAGATTTGCCCATGCTATATACCTTAGTATCGTATTTGCATCCCATTTACTATGGATGTTTAACTTTTTATTAGGCTTTAGTAAAAAAAAGAAAAACTATTTTAAAAATTCCGAAATTGTTCATCGGATTTCTTACTTGTTATTCAAATTCTAGAGTGTTTTTTTCGAACCTCAAAATTTCAATCCGAAACCCAAAATATATTTTTTGTAAGAAAAATTGTTTTTATTCCGTCTAGAATGCCTCATTGCAAACTTGATGATTATTTTGTTAAAAAAAATGGGTTAATACCATAAAAGTCATAAGTTTTACATCCCAATTCTAAATTAACCCTAAATGGATTTTTTTTGTCTAATTAGCCTAAATAATTGTGACCCCGTTTCAAAATCGTTTTATCAATCGGTTAACAACATGTCAAGGTACGCAGCCGATCACCACTCTCCTATACTACTCGATCGTTTGTACACGACAAAATATCACCTTTCATAGAAATGTCTTGCATCAAAAAAGGGTTTCATGTAGTTGGTCTTAGGAAGAAGAATGGTTTGAAAAGGGTTTCTTACACCATTGTTGCATGTAAAAAAATCTCTTATCTTGAAGTTGAAAGTCACTGAAGTAGAAAGGTATGTGGGGTGCCAATAAGAAATTGATGTTTATATGTGTTCTTATCTTACATAATCGAGTTCCATAGTGTCACTTACAAGTTTAATTTTTCATCTTGAACAGATGGATTCATCATCTGAAACTAAAAAGGTGAAAGGGCCTAAAAAGGTTTATGTAAGGGACGAGGACTCTGATGATGATCTCATAGATTTCTCTTTCCTGGATTTTGCACCAGAGACCTTTAAACCAACCTCAAACCTGTCTGATGACCCATTCCTTAACATATTATGTGATGAAAATAGGTTAAGGAGGACTCTTGATAGAATGGGAGATGATGATCAGGAAACTGGTGTTAAGGATCCATAACATAATCATATTGATGATCAAAATGACGGTGAAGTGGGTGTAGAGTACAGGGTTCATGATCCAGACAACCATTGGAAACACAAATGAAGCTAGTAGTGGGAGAGTGTTATGAGTCCCATTCTCAACTCAGGTTTGCATTAACTAACTATGCAGTAGCTAATGGGTATTAGTTGTGGTTTATGAAGAGTGATAGGCACAGAGTGATTGCTAGGTGTGGGAAAATATATAAAAAAAGACCCATGTCCCTTTAGAGTGTATGCTTCTTGGAAGTATAATGAACGAACGTTTCATATTAAATTTATATGTGACATACATCTATGTGCTAGAAGTTTTAATTTTGGAACTTTGGTTAGTTGCAACTGGTTGGCCAAACATTACCTGAAGGATATTATTATGAAGCCAAAGATGGCATTAACTAAGCTGAAGGAAGATGTACTTAGGATGTTTTCAATAAATGTATCTACGGGGAAATGTCACAAGTCTAGGACAAAGGCAAGAGAGATGATAGAAGGTAAGTTAGAAGAACATTATGCAAAGGCATGGGACTATGCTATAGAAATCCTCAGGTCTAACTCAGGGAGCACTTGTAAGGTGGGAGTAGATTCTAATGCAAGTGGCATGAACTATTTCAAAAGGTTTTATGTGTGCTTAAAGGATTTTAAGGATGGTTGGAATAGGGGTTGCGGACGTGTGATTGTTTGGATGGTTGTTTCCTAAAGGGTCAGATCAAGGGAGAACTTTTGATTGTTGTTGGAAGAGATACAGACAGTCATGTATATCCAATAGCATGGGAAGTGATTGATGTAGAGAACAAAGATAATTCGACTTGGTTTATTGAGCTATTAGTTACTAATCTTGAACTTGATTGTCGTAGGGGTCTTGTGGTTATTTCCGATCAGCACAAGGTAAATTATATTGTAAATTTGTTTAATTATTATACATTTATAATAATATTGTTTATTCAATGTCAAGGTCTACTACCAGTTGTTACAGAACTATTTCCATATGTTGAACATAGACAATGTGCCAGGCACATCTATGCAAACTTCAGGAAGAAATACATTGGGTTAGAGCTCAAGAACCTATTTTGGGAAGCTGCCAAAAGTACTGTGGAAGGGTGACTATGGCCCAAACACCTTAGAGAAGATTAAGGAGTTTGGAAAGCATATGAGGTCTGTTTATTTGATTTTAATTTTGATCTTAAGTCTATACATGTACATTACTAACTACTTATAATTTTAGGTTCTGCATAGTAATACCAAGTGGAGGGGCATTATTTGAGACAAGGCATGGATATTTAGCTTACACGATGGATTTAGATGCTCATTCTTGTTCATGCAGATTATGGGAGATATCAGGGTTACCATGTGTCCATGCTCAAACTGCAATCAATTTCACACATAGAGATCCAGCTTTTTTTTTCCTTTTGGTTTTATAAGGACAAGTTCATAGAGAGATACAGGGACAACATATTACCTGTTAATGGAAGTAATATGTGGCCCTATACTGAATATTTGAATCCCTTACCGCCCCTTCTTAGGAGAATGCCTGGAAGGCCAAAAATAAAGATAAGACACGCCTCAAAATGTCAGGATTCTAAGTTCCCAACTCAAAAGGAAAAGGTAAGGAGGACTGTTTAGGTGTGGGAAATGTAGGGAACTTGGTCATAATAAGCTGTCTTGTAAGAATGGAGAAGGTCCAAGTGACCCTGTGTAACATCCCAAATTTCAAGTCCAAAAATTTTGTTTTTAATTAATTAACTTATAAAACCATTTACTGAAAACATTGTGGATATCATAGCAATCCATAAACCCTTAATACACATGTCTCAAAATCATAACATCAAACAGTAATAAAATCATAGTACAATCCCATAGATCTCAAAATGTGGAACCCAGTATGTGTAGGTGATGCGCTGCTAGCGCGCCGGCTCCTTCCCCTTTGACGAAGAGGTACCTGAAACAAAACTGAAAACTGTAAGCATTAAGTTTAGTGACTTCCCCCACCATACCACATATCCTACTATAAACATACTGTCATGCATATCTGGGTGCCCATCCTACCCTGCTAGGCATATTGGGGTGCCTAACCTACCCCTGTCAGACATATCGGGGTGTCCGACCTACCCCTCTGGTTTATCTAAATCGGTTACGGGGACTATTTCACCCCTACTACTATCGCATACTAACACAACATAACCATACTGTCTAACATATTTGGTACTAAACTACCCCTTTGGTCCTATCGACCGGTAATCGGGGACTATTCCCCTTACTACTACCACTATCACATATAACATATCATGCTAACACATAAACATACCAGGTAGTAGCAAAGCAGACAATTATCACAAAGACAATCATTTCAACTATAATCAACTACTAGTGGGCCGGCCTTGGTGCCTTAGACCCACTTCTACTAGAAGGTAACTCACCTCAATGTCGTGTAGTTTTCCTCAGTACGAAAATCGACTCTTCTCAACTCCTCAATCCCTACACAACATCCTTTCTACATTACCATTTCATACTCATAACCCATACAAGGGTCACTAAATTCCAAGTCAAAGTCAACATCAAAACCCTGGTCAAAGTCAACTTTGGTTGGCTAGACTCGCCGAGTTGGTTCACCAACTCGTCGAGTCCCCACGTCCAAAAAATGTTACAACCTCGTCCCTACCCGTAAATTCTAGCAAGAACTCGATGAGTTTACCTTCAACAGATCATTGAAACCTTCTTCAACGGACTCGCCGAGTTCATCCTTGAGCTCTTCGAGTTCATCCTCATCCGTATGAAGGTGGTTATTCTATGACTTGTTGAGTTCTCCTTGAACTCGTCGAGTCCGTCTTCAAGTGTTTGGGACATTGCCTTGAACTCATCGAGTCTGCACATACACTTGAGTTCCATGATTTCAAGGTCCCTAATGAGCATAGAAAGTTGATTGTTCTTCTATCTTACAATCTGGTCCATCAACAGAAGGATTTTATGGGGAAATACAACCCGACTCGCCGAGTCCATCTTTGTCCAAAACTATACAGTCGATTTCAGTGGGTCTCAAAGCATCTAAACTATATATCTGACCTCCTAGGGTCCATATTGTACGTAAAGTTACAAACTTTACGTTTATGCATGGGCCATTTAACTCAAAAGGCCCTAAAATGGAGTCTTCAAGATGGATGGGACTCTTATGGCAGTAAAGTTGGAACCTTTATGCCATGAGAACCCTCCTATGTTCCAGATCTGAAGTTATTCCTCTATATAATGCCCCAAACCCGAAGGTGACTTAGAAATGCCCCAAAAATGACAAGATTCAAGCCCTAAAGAGGATCTAACAAATGGAAAGTCAAGGTTGAAGCTTTTTACCTCAAATGAGCTAGAAATGAAACACAACTTTTGGATCTACTAGCTTCAACTTGAACTCCTAATCTCCGTCCTCCTTCTTAAGCTTCACAACCACCAAAAATACACAAGAATGGCTTAAGAACACTCAAACAAGGCTAGGGTTTCGATTTAGGGTCTTCTGAAAGTGAGAGGGATGATGGAGGCTGGTTTGGGACGAGATAAGTTGTTTAAATAGGTTGCAAACCCTAAATATTACGGTTTCATCCAAACAACTTCTGCAAAGATTGTGTATGTGATGCGCTGCTACCGCGCCGGCTCCTTCCCCTTCGACGAAGAGGTACCTGAAACAAAACTGAAAACTGTAAGCATGAACTTTAGTGAGTTCCCCCACCATACCACATATCCTACTATAAACATACTGTCATGCATATCTAGGCGCCCGGCCTACCCTGCTAGGCATACCGCGGTGCCTAACCTACCCGTGTCAGACATACAGGGGTGTCCGACCTACCCTTCCGGTTTATCTCAACCGGTTACGGGGACTATTTCACCCCTACTACTATCGCATACTAAAACATCATAACCATACTATCTAGCATAGTTGGTACTAAACTACCCCTTTGGTCCTAATGACCGGTAATTGGGGACTATTCCCCTTATTACTACCACTGTCACATATAACATATCATGCTAACACATAAACATACCAGGTAGTAGCAAAGCAGACGATTATCACAAAGACAATAATTTCAACTATAATCAACTACTAGTCGGCCGGCCTTGGTGCCTTAGACCCACTTCTACTAGAAGGTAACTCACCTCAATGTCGTGTAGTTGTCCTTAGTACGAAAATCGACTCTTCTCGACTCCTCAATCCCTACACAACATCCTTTCTACATTACCATTTCATACTCATAACCCTTACAAGGGTCACTAAATTCCAAGTCAAAGTCAAGGTCAAAACCCTGGTTAAAGTCAACTTTGGTTGGCTAGACTTTCCGAGTTGGTTCACCAACTCGTCGAGTCCCCACGTCCACAAGATGTTACAACCTCGTCCCTACTCGTCAAGTCTAGCAAGAACTCGACGAGTTTACCTTCAACATATCATCGAAACCTTCTTCAACAGACTCATCGAGTTTATCCTCATCTGTATGAAGGTGGTTAGTCTATGACTCGCCGAGTTCTCCTTGAACTCGTCGAGTTAGTCTTCAAGTGGTTAGGATATTGCCTTGAACTTGCCGAGTTCCACAATTTCTAGGTCCCTAATGAGCCTAGAAAGCGGAGTGTTCTTCTATCTTAGCATCTGGTTCATCAACAGAAGGATTTGATGGGGAAATACGACCCGACTCGTCGAGTCCCTCTTTGTCCAAAACTATACAGTCGATTTCAGTGGGTCTCAAAGCATCTAAACCATATATCTGACCTCCTAGGGTCCATATCGTAAGTAAATTTACAAACTTTACGTTCATGCATGGGCCATTTAGCTTAACAGACCCTAAAATGGAGTCTTCAAGATCCATGGGGCTCTTATGGCAGTAAAGTTGGAACCTTTTCGCCATGAGAACCCTCCTATGTTCCAGATCTGAATTTATTCCTCTATATAATGCCCCAAACCCGAAGGTGACTTAGAAATGCCCCAAAAATGACAAGATTCAAGCCCTAAAGAGGATCTAACAAATGGAAAGTCAAGGTTGAAGCTTTTTACCTCAAATGAGCTAGAAATGAAACACAACTTTTGGATCTACTAGCTTCAACTTGAACTCCTAATCTCCTTCCTCCTTCTCAAGCTTCACAACCACCAAAAATGCACAAGAATGGCTTAAGAACACACAAACAAGGCTAGGGTTTCGATTTAGGGTCTTCTGGAAGTGAGAGGAACGATGGAGGCTGGTGTGGGATGAGATAAGTTGTTTCAATAGGGTGCAAACCCTAAATATTAGGGTTTCATCCAAACAGCTTCTACTCATCGAGTCGGTCCCCCGAATCGTTGAGTAGGTCACTAAACCTCCCAGTCAGAATTGAGTCTACTCGACGAGTTGGGCCTCTAACTCGCCGAGTCCCAGGGCAAAACATGAAATTACTTGAATTTAAATACGTACCAGGAACCAGGTGTTACACCCTGTCCCTAAAAGGAAAAAATGGCAGACCACAAGGAGATGGGGGAGGGAATCCAACTATGAACATTACAAAGACACCAACAAAAGTAGGTGAGGAAAAGAAGAAAGTTGTTGAGGGCACATCAAAAGAAGAAAATGAGGTAAAGAAGAAAGATGTTGATGACACATCAAAAGAAGCAAGTGAGGGAAAGATGAAAGCTACTGAGGGCACATCAAAAGAAGCAGGTAAGATGATAGATGTTGATCAGTTAATTTCTCCTTTGAATAGAATGAGGATGATGGCAAGGAGGGGAGGTAAGATCAAATATGTAGGGAGAATCGGGGTTGTGCATGGTAGTTTAAGTCAAACTGTGGCAGGAGGTGTTGATGAAGTTGTACTTACCTGCCATGAAAAGCTTGACCATGAAGATTTTGAAACTATTAAAGATCTGTAGGCATCTGGATATGATCATGGGGAAATTGTTGAAGCTTTTAATAAGGTGTGTAGTTATAAATTTAATTATTAACACAATTTTCTTGAACATTATGTGATAATATGTTAATTTCTTATTCACAGTTGATAAAAGAGAGGAAGGAGATGTTGGTTGAGAGTATAGTTGATAAAGAGACCAGTCAAGAAACACAAGATCTGTTGGTAAGAAAAAGGAAGCCCTCAAAAAGAATTATCAAGATTATGTTGAAAAAGCAGTGCATGATCCAGATGGAAGTGGTTCAACAACTGAGAAAGCACTTACATTGGACTGATGTTGTTATGGATGGGGGGTTAATTGGGCATAAATCTTTTGATAGCCCTTTTTGTGAAAGCATCTTTTGATAACAAGCTTCCAATTTGTTGACAACATGTTATCTTTTGACTGTAAATTGTAGTAAGTACATTGTCATTTTGTGAAATCATTTTTTGGCTTGTAAACATTGTTGTAAAATTGGAAGTTTGGTTCTGATGGTTACCCTCCATTTATGTATTTGGCTATTATGTTTATAAAGATTGTGGTTTGTAGTAAGTTCAAAGTTCAGTGTCAGTTTGTAATGGATAGTACATTGTCAATTTCTGGTTAATGTTTTTCATATTAATTGTCCCGTAGGACTATATATTACAAGGGTACCATGTTACAACCTTCAAAACGTTTTCAGATGCTATTATAATTGCGCCAAAATAAGCAATCTAGTACAATTTCACCTACCCAACAACTTCACAAAAGACTAAACTTAACTTCCTAACTTCCTACAATTTCACCAGCAATATAGTCCCCGTTACCAACATCACTGCAAATAGCATGACCATGATGAACATAAGCTTCATCATCAACATCAACCTCCTATTTTGATCCATATTCACCTGTTTCAACCGAGCATTGCCATCAGCCATACCAACCAGAGCTAAATGCATTTGGTACATCAGGTTTTTGTAATCTTCACTAGGCAAAGGTGGGTCCAACCACATGAAGAACTTACAATACCAGGAAGGATCCTGCACATTTTATTTCGGTTGTTAATAATTAGTCAAACAATAGTTGTAATCTCTTTCTTCACTAGTAAAAGGTGGGTCCAGCCACAAGAAATATATGTTATTGATCAATCAAATATATGATTTGTATACTCTTTCTTTATATGGTATCAAATATACAATACCTGAAAGGATCCTGCACATTTTTATGATAAATTTACCCTTAGTCCCATAACAAAACTTTATACTGGATCAAAGAGTGAAGAACATACCTTGTAGTTGGTGCATCCCCTAAATTTTCGTTCGAGATTCTTGTCCGTCCATGAAATTGAGAAGCTAGCCTCAACACCACAACAACACAAAACCATGGGTTGTTTTTGTTCCTGAAATTGACATTAACATTTTAAAATCCTGAAGTCATTGACCATGTAGATGAACTAGTCATGAAGAAGTTGTTGTGTGGAAGAAGAAATCGGAGAAGGTAGAAATAGGAGGTGGAAGATGGGTTTCTAACGGTAAAACACCTATTTGTAAAGGGGTACAAGGGGTAACCGGCTAACAGAGCTCGAGGCAAAAGTAACACATACATAATATTTAATTAGACACAAAAAATCCATTTAGGGCTAATTTAGAATTTGGGTGTAAAAATTATGGCTTTTATGGTATTAACGCTTAAAAAATTGATTATTTTCTTTAAATACACATCACTAGTTCATTTCCCTATAGTATATTCATCAACATATTCTCCTAATAATATATGAACTAATTGTTATATGTTGAGATGTGAAAATGATACTGTGTGTGTGTGTTTGTATCTTTAACACTTCAAATATGTGGTACTGCCAATAATCAAGTGTCCAACTCTCAAAAAGATAGTCGAATTGTTAAATAAAATTAAGAATAATAATCATTTTGGTGACACTATATATCCAATTAAACCCGGTTATTTCAAACACCGGTAGTTCCAACCAACTACAATTTCCCCACTCAACTACACGCCTAACGCCTCTCATAACAACAATTTATACATACATACATACACATACAACTTTCTTATTCAATAAGAAAGTTACTATAACAAACATTTATAAATAAAAAAAAAATTAAAAAAAAAATCTTTAAATTCTTGGTACCCATAGCTCAATAAGTTGTACCTAGCCCATCTAACACATCAAGCATATTAGCATTCTCAAACTTCAAATCTCTCCTTGGTGAACTCCCCATACTTCTACTCGACACAAAAACCTCCCCTCTCTTCTTCTTCACCATAACAAGTTCTTGACTTTTACTCACTCCACGAACACCCGTTTTTCTTTTTGTCACTTCTTCCAACAAATTCTTGTCCTCTGATGAGATTTCGACCCGTTTAGGATTTGGATTTGACCCGTTTGAATTTGGAGATCGGGTGGGTGTGTATTTGGGTATTTTGTCGCGATATCTCACGAGGCTTATTAAACGGTGAAGATAGATGATTAAATCGAGTATGTATCGATCCATTTTTTGTTTGTCCGCGTGGTATAATGTTTGTAGGCGGATTATGTTGTTGCTTGTTGATGTCTTTTTTCCAAAATCGGATCTGTTGTTTAGATTTAATACAGAAAGAACGACTTAATACAGAAAGAAAGTCAGAGAAATTTGAAGTCGTAACTTTTTAAAAAAATTATTTTAATTTCAGATGTTTCGAGGAAAAGACAAACTTAGCCGTTTCTCTTAAGCTTTTTCCAAAAATTAGCCAACATTTAAATAAATTAAAATAAATAAATAAATAAAACCTAATAACTATCGATTTTATCATGTCATGGTTTTTTTTTTTACTTT